GTCAGCCGCCCAGCATAATGGCCTACTTGGCGACGGCAGGTGGATGCGTCTGCGGTACGCGGCTCCTGCTTTGGCTCGGCCCTGCGGCGCAAGGCGTCCCGTCCGAGCGACGATCACGACCACGTGTGCCAGAAGTTCATCGACTTCTACCTGGAGCAGTGCATCCAGGAGATCGTGCGCGATCGCAGGTAACCGGCAAGCTGCACGCATGTGCTTTCGTTTTCACCTGTAGTCGTTTTCTAAGAGCAGAAAGTCGTGCGATTTGATGCATTGCGTACATTTTGGCGCACCGTTGGGTCGCTTTCTGGCTCATTGGCTATTGGAAAGGGAATGTCCCACGTGCTGTGCATGTATTCTACTCGCGCACATTTCGGCGACGTAGTTCCCATGAACGCAGCATACCAGTCATCGCCGCGAAGAGCGAGAAAGACAAACGGCAGTTGTAGGCAGTGTGGTTTTGCTTTCGCAGTGCTTCTTGGACTGACGTTACATTTTATGTATGCTTTCCTGACACCTCTGATTTGCTCCTACCTAGCTTTCAAATAATGTCAGATTTTAGAGAAATAGATGACGAATAAGCTGATTTATTCCTAGGGCCTGAATGCATCGCCCTTCTGCATCTATGCTTGTCGTTCTCCACCCGACCACCGCCGTCGCGATGCTCCACCACAACACATGTCGCCGCGAGACGTCCGTTGACGGGGGCGCGCGGGCCGTTGCAGGGTGCAGCAGAAGCTCTACACGACGTGTTCCTGGGCACGGAGCTGGTGGACTGGCTGCTGCTGCAGGGGCTGGCCGGCAGCAGGCGCGCCGCCGTCCGCTACGCGCGCCGCCTGGTGGCCGGCGGCCTGATCGAGCACCACCAGCAGACCTACCACTTCCACGACATGCCCTTCTGGTACCGGCTGACGGCCACCTTTCGCGAGGGCAACGAGCCACGTGCCAAGATCTCCACCGTCAGCACCACCATCGTCAACGTCGACTGACTCCGGACCTGACTCTCGGGCAGCGCTCCGGCCGTCAGCGAGACTTCACCCTTCGGCTGTGAAGCCATTGTTTCCCCTGTCTGTGACGTTTGGCTGTTTAGTGTTTAGCTGACTTCTCGCGGCCCCTGAGAACGCCCGTGAGGCGAGCCGGCGCCTTGCCCCTCCTGGCTGTGTCCTGCTGGTCGGGTCACACCGGCTGGACCGGCGGTCTCTCCGCCGGGAATCTGGCCAGCGAGATGCACCGTTCGCCGCTGGTCACCAGGTCGGCGATGAGCTAAAGCAGGGTCAGACACTTTTCACTGCGTGGCTGCGTGTGATGCGTGCGCCAGTCCGTCATAACCGAATTAGTAAATGATGGACATGTAAGGAAGGTGTTCCGCATGGTATAATACTGTACATTCTGGATAAGAGGTTTATTTACGCAAAACGGAATGAGTTCGACTTTATGTCACTTTGTTTCAATATTAGAGAAATGTTCTTGTAAGCCTGTGTCTAATGTATATTTGTTTTATGTTAATGGCTTTGCCATGACGTGCAGCTCATAGTGACGAAGCACAGGACATGATGCATTAATTTAAAGGTGGAAGCAAATGACCATGTGATTGAAAAGCATACATGGCTCCGGAACAATCTTGTACTATGTAATATTCAGGACAACATTCTGAACCCCCGTACACGTAAAACCCCACGCCTGCAACGGCGCAGGTTTTGATCGGTATGAAGCCCCTGAGGTCATATTTGGCAATGCTGCGGCCAGCAAAAGGAGCGGCCGTCTGATGGGCGGCTATAGTCTGCTCGCGCAGGCGAAGGCTGCTGGTGTTTTTGGCCTGTTAGAGTAGCCATCTTATTCCGTAGGACTTGAACGATAAGTGCATACAATGTTGTAGGGTACGTCGTCGATTGTTAAACAAGATTGTGATGCGTTTAGACATCACTCATGCGGGCAGCATGGCGTGACAATGTTGAAATAAATTATCTCCGAGAACTAAGGGCGTTTACCCATGACGACAGCAATCCAGCAGGTGAAGCTTCTTTTTATACATTGCGGAGGATCTTCTCTTTGAGCCCCGCGAAACTCACAACGTGCGGACGGTGTTCCAAGAATGGTGCGGAGCGACTGCCTACCAGGCGCCCCTAACGCTGGCATGTCCTCGCGCAGTCCTCACGGCCGCAGTCGGTGAAGCCGTGGCGTGGAACGCCTCGGACTGGGCTGGAAGCATGGGCCCGCCCGAAGCGTAGCGCCAGGCTGGTCGGCTTCCCTGCGAATCTGCACTCTCGGCGGCTACAGGAGAGGCCTCGGCCGATCCTTGCAGGATAGATCGGCTTAGAGGCGCACTACGCGCAGATGTTTGGTGCTGGCGTCTGCTGCAGATTACATCATAGTGTTTGGCCTTTCAACAAGAGTACCACGAAATGTGAGCTTCTTGCCCACAGGCGTTAGCTCGTGGTTGCCCGTCGTGCGCCTTGTCTATCAACTCGTGGCGTTGTTAGGAAAATATATTTTAGTAGCAATCACAGCTGCGAATTAGAAAGCTCGATGTTATTTGGGCGTCACTTCTGTGCCCTACCACACATCGTAACATCCAGCACAGTGATAGCCTGTGCGGCTGTTTACCACGAGCAGCACTTAGGTAAACATCAGCCGCGTGTTTGCATGCTATGGCGTATGCCTAATACAGATTTATCGATAGGG